AAGTAAATCCCATCAGGGCTGCTGCCGAGCTGTGGACTTAACAAGGGCCACAAGGTTAACTACCCCCTCCTGCCGATAAGATGGAGAATAGCAACTCTTTGCATAGCATCATAGACAGGACATGGAGAGGTAAGCACCTGATTTTTTTTGGCAGGGAAAAAAATTGTAATTACCTTGAGTCCTCTTTGAGGAGAAGAATAGGGTATAAATATCGCAAATAAATAATCAGAGCAACATAGAGCTGGAAGGAACTCTAAGAACCCACTTGTTTTAATCTTGGATGATGAAGCTAATTCATAGCTAAACAAAGCATTTCTGAGACATGGTTATCTCATTTCTGTTTACTGGGACGTGGTGGTGCTGCGGGTTAAACCGCAAAAACCTCTGTGTGGCAAGGTCGGAAGACCAGCCGTCGCGACGGAGGGAGTTCCCCTCGCTTGTCCCAGCTCCTGCCAACCGAGCCGTTCGAAAGCATGTAAAAATGCCAGTAGATAGATACCACCACGGTGGGAAGGAGTAAGGGCCTTCCGTGTCTAGTCGCGCAGGCCACTGGACCACAGAAACTGTCTACAGACAAACGCTGGCTCTACAGCTTGGAGACGGGGATGAGCACTGCCCTCTAGAGTTGGACACGACTGGACAAAATGTCAAGGGGAACCTTTGCCTTTACCTAATTTTTGTTTAAAAACATTCAAAGGAAGAAAGCCAGAGGTTGGGAGTTTGATTCCCCCACTGTGCCTCCTGGGAGAACAGCCAGCCTGGGTGGCCTTGGGACAGCTGCACAGGAGTTCCAGGGCACCCCAGGAGAACGGGAAAGTTGTTCTGAGTCTTCTCTATCAGGAAAACCATGAAAAGGGTCACCAGAAATCAAAATTGACTTGATGGCAAAGGATTATTAGCTCAGGGGTTTAGCTTATCCAGCTCCTGAGCCAGATGTTGGGAGTTCAATTCCCCCACTGTGTCCCAGGCGGAAGAGCCAGCCTGGGTGGCCTTGGGTAACCTACCCATTCCCAGAGGTGACCCTAAAAGATTGTCCTGTTAATCCACTTCAGCCTATCATCTGTCTGGAAAATCCAGAAATGGTCGCCATAGATCAGATTTGATGGGACATGGTTATTATCATTCAAGGAAGACATAAAGAAAGGACAGGGAGAGGATTTCCCCCCGAAAAAGCAGCCAAAGGCCATCAGATCTGACCAGACTCCAGGCAATAAAGACTCCACGAAAGCACAATCCAGACCCAGGTTGCATCTAAGGAAATGGGCCGTGGCCCACGTGGCCAAATGAGGTTGGCTTTAAGGAGACACGAGACATTTGCTCATTGACGTCAGTGTAACAGACTCTTGTGGCTATCCTTCTGGAACGGGGGACCGAATGGCCTGATGCAAAGAGAGCGGAAGTGTCCAGAGAAGGAGGGCTGTTTGGACAGATGGACGCATTGCAACAAAAGGAAGCAGAGGCAGTTTGTAAAGTTGCTTGTCCTTCAGAGAAACCTCCCCCATGTAGACACGACAAAGCGATGGATTCACAACAGATCACACAACCTTCTCCTGCAGGCAGGTACAATTTCTGGTGTCCGTCACCACTGGACAGGACCGTAACCCAGACGTATTCAATGTCCTGTCTACCACATACGTTAAGACTACAATGGCCATCATCCACAGAGACAATGGCCTTGGATGCCTTTCTAGGCTGGCTTGTCAACTTCTTGTGTCATCACACTGTCAAGTCAGAGCAGTGTGATGGTTCAAAAGGGGAATTAGACTTCCCTTTCCTTTTTCTTCTTGCATGGCCATTAGTCATGGTGGCTGCAGTCCACAATATCTGGAAGGCTGCCAGGCCCCCCCCCCTCAAGCTGTAAGAAAGTGAGCATTCACTTCCTGAAGGCTTGGAGGCACCCGAGTCCAAAGGCCTGTGGTAGGACTTGGGATCATCCAAAACGGGTCCTCAGCTTGGCAGCTGCTCAGCCCTGTTCCCATATAACTGAAGATGATGTGGGAGAGGGAAAAGGTCAACCAGGCGTCGTTGCAGGAGGACACGGCCAGTGGGTCAACGAGCCGTGGCTGAAGTTGACTTGAGGGCTAAACCAGGAGCCCTCCTTCAAGCACCTCAGACAGAATCCTATCAAGTCCATGCAGTTAAAGAGGGGAATGTTTTTTGAGGAAGGGGGAGGGGGGGAAGAGAGAAATGAAAAATCAAATAATTGTAAAGATTTCACTGCTACAATTTAAGTTGAGCTTTTGTGGACCACGTCCACTTCCTCAGACCTAAGGGAGAGACGGTATGAGGGTTCTATGGCTCCCTGGCCCCGTGACCAGGTGGGGAGACAGATAAGGGACACAAAGGGTCTGCGGTTTGGTAGCAAAGGAGTAAGACTCTTGGGCTGTGAATAATTTCATTCATAAGTCTATAAGAGTACCATTAACATGAGTGGCAAACTGAGAACTAATGTAGGATTTCACGCTTGGTAGTGACTTAAGGACCCTTGATTGATATTCATTCCTTTTAAGGAGGTCTCTTAACATCCGTAGATGCCTTATCACAGCTGGGTTGTTGTTTTTCCCCCCAAGTCTAGTTCTATAGTTTTTCTCTCTCTCAAAAGACTCACTCACAAATCACTTAAGAGGTTGTAATGTTCTGAAACAGGTCTTAGTCAGATGCTCCCTCCAATGTCCAGTTTATGCACGCAGTCCTTCTTTTGCATAGAGATTGTCCCGTTTGTCTTTGTGGAGTGTCGAGGGAGATTGTGGGACGAGATCGCTCACAAGAGCGGAGGAACACATAAAGGCACCCTGGATGTCGGTCAATGTGACGCAGTTGGGTCCTGTAGTTGTGTTGCGAGAGCAGATGTTGGGTGCAAGAACTGGCCTCTGGATTTGGAGCAGGGCTTGAACCCCACCTCCATCTCCGTGTTGCGTGGTCTGTTCTTGCGATTGCGGGGCTGTTTGCAAGCCTGCCTAGGCCTGCGGCCACCCCGGGCTCAGGGAAGGGCAGTATTCTTGTCAAGCGTGGGTTGCAGGCCATTTATCGTGTGAGCAGACTCCGTTGTGGGGAACTGGGTCAACTTTAGCCACTCACTGGCACTTGTTGTCAAGCGTGGGTTGCAGGCCATTTATCATGTGAGCGGTCTCCGTTGTGGGGAAGTGGGTCAACTTTAGCCACTCAATGGAATTGCAGAACCAGGAGTTCCCTCTTAAAGCGTTCAGAAAGTGACGATCACGCCCAGAGGCTGTGCCTTCAGGGGTACCGGATGCACGGCTCTGTGTCTCACAGCCGTTCCAAGGGGACGCGCTTTCCCTGCCACCAACCAGCTCAGAGATCCTTTAAACGCCAGCGGCTGGTCCTGGGATTCCTGGCAGGCCAACCAGCAGCAGGGCTGGATGGACCATTCGGGGTCCCCGAGAGGGAACCGTGGGATGGGACCTAAGAGCCCCTCGGGCGTGCTAAGCCCTGCACAGAGGCCGAGAGGAAAGCTGCAGGCCTCCCCATCTAGTGCACCCAATAGAGAACGCAACAGGGAGGACGAATGAAGAACATTAAAGTAGTCTTCACCAATCTTAAGTTTGCCTGACCGGGCACCCATCAGATGTGCCACAGATCGCATGTCCGTTTTTCTCGGACATCGTGGATCCTGCATGTGCTGCCCCCACCCTGGGCCAAAATATATTGGGACTACAGCTCCCATGATCCCACACCCTGCTCTCCTTGGCTGCTTGCAGCATTACGGAAGTGGTAGTCAAACACATCCTGGAAGCTCCAGATTGTGGAAAGCTCTCGTCATTTGCACCCTGGGGGGAGGGGGGAGGACACAGCTTGTCTGCCACCGACGGCTTAAGTCATTTTCTCCCAGCTGTGAGACCCTGGCAAGCTGCCACTACCTGAGAGGGTCACGAAGACCTGGGAGCAACACGGGCCAAGGGTAAGAGGCAACCTCAGAGGGATCACGATTTGCCCATCCAGGCTCGGAGAGAGCAAACAGCAACCCCTCAAAGCGGCTTCTGTGGCCACGAAACACCCCCTGCTTTAAACAAATCATCTTTATACTTTATACTTCAGTGCTGACCTCTGAAGATGCCCATGGCCACAGAGACTGGCGAAACGTTAGGAAGAACAACCTTCAGAACACGGCCAGAGAGCCCGAAAAACCCACAACAAGCATCTTTATATTGTCTGCTCCTGGAGGCCTCCAAAAGCAGTGAGTTTGTCACCAAATGGGGTGCCCGGCTTTGGAATCCCACAATAAGGATAGTGGGACTTGCCCAGTTTGGATTTTTTTGGGATGGAAAATGTGGGCCCCCACAAATCCCCCCAAAAGCCCCACTTCTGCTCTTGACGGAGGGTCCCAAAGGCACGGTGCAAGCAGTTCTGCCTTTTCCCCTTCCAAAGGGCTTTCCCTGGCAGGAGCGGGAGGGGGAAGATGGGAGGAAGACACGAGGCGGCTGATAAGGGAAGACAGAGACCTCGCGCTCTGCTGCAAACTTCCACATCGGGGGGGGCCCTTCCGCAGCCCCTGTAAAAAGCGCAGCCTAGACCACAAGCCGGCCGACGGCGCTCCAGAGGCCACGGAAAAGAGCCAGCCCCCTGGGTCCCTCAGGAAGTCGTTTTTATTTAATATGATAAGAAGCAAGTCCACAATACAAAATTTAAAAATCAGCCCCAGTGCGACCCCAACCCCCCACCCGGATTTTCTTCATCCCACCAAGATAATGAATGAAATAAAGGGGAGTGGGTGTCCAACGTGGATGGGGAGGGGCCGGAGAGCCCCATTTGGCCCCCCCATCTTTTCCCTTCCCTGGGCGAATGGGGGGTGGTGGAGCCTCACGCAGGCAGAGATGGGGTTCTCAAGGCACCCCCGACTCCCCTTTCCCTCGTCCGCACCCCCCCAGCTATTCAGACAGATGGGGACACCTACAAACACACGTGGCCGTTACAGGATCCAGTTACTTAAAAGAAAATGAAAAAAAAAAATGAAAATGCGAGGCAGG